AATGAATGAATGAATGAATGAATATTAATGTTCCACAAAAGAGCACGAGGTCATTTGCTGTAACAGTGACGTAAAATAGTGCAGAGTGAATCGCACGTGTCTTTGCTTGTGCAATACTGTAACATGAGCCTTATCAGCCGACACTTACGTATGACAGGTACAAGTGCGATGTAGGATCCTTGGCCTGTATTTCATAATTTTCTTACAGTAGAGCAGTCTCAAGTATCATTTCAAAAACTTGTAACAATACTCGTTCTTCAAGTCCGTACAACTCATGTATAATATCGCAATCTAATGATGCTTAGTTCCTAGTACCGTCTTGAGTATTGTCCCCATGGAAGGTTCGTCCCAGCCTGTTCAACGCCAGCTTGGTCAACAGCACAAGAAACAGATGTCCTATAAGACTCCGGCATAATAAATCATCTTTTCAGACACGAAATGATACTAATCTGTGTTCTTGTTCTCCTTTCTCCAAGTCCCGCGGCTGCCGTTCGTTATCCGAGGCAAGCGCGAATTTCAAACAACGACATAGCATCTCCCGTCTTGATGCTTCACTAAACACGAAACACAAGGCACAGACTCACTGGCCGATGCCTTCTTATGGAGGATCGATTTGTGCTGACCAGTCTCGAAAAGGAACACCCCGTGACAGTTACTTCTTTAGCCAACGTCGTCACCATGAATCAGTCTTTGGATACGTCGGCGGATAGCATCAAGCAGTGTCACAGCGAGATGGAACGAATCGTCATCAAATCATGGCATAATCATTAAAACTTTTTGGGCATCTGCCCTTGATGTCTATCTGAGGTGTGCCTTCTAGGACGGTATACAAACCCGCGTCTATCCCTAGCCCACCATCCCAAAGTCATTCATTAACCGATCATCATCAACGCTTCGCTGTAATTTTCCCTGCCCAGAACAAGTCGATAGGTAACGCCGCCGATATCCCTTAGTTGACATACTTAGGGATGGTCTCCATCACACCATCCTTGGTGATGAGCTCCATGGCCTTAGTCACCTCGTCCAAGAAGCGCTGGTCGCCTCGCAAATCGTCACCGAACAGCTCTCGGACGCTGAGAATAGAGCGGGGATCCTTGCCGCCCTCCTTGGCCAGAGCTTGAAGCTTCTCGCGCATAGGATCGTCAACCTCGAAGGTGTTGCCCTTGTCATCGACTCCGTTGATGTAGATGAACCAGCCAGCAGCGACGAAACACAAGCGGCGGAAGGGGCCAGTAACCCATATGTTCTCGGCAATGGAGGGCATGATGAACTGAGGGATCTTGCCGGAGGCGTTGAGAGCGACACGGGGAATCTGATCCATGATGGTAGGGTTGGAGAATCGCTCCATAAGGGTGTTGCAGTACTGGTCAATGTCGACACCAGGGATCTCGGGGAGAAGAGGCTTGACCTCCTCCTGCATCATCTGCCAGACAAACTTGCGGTAGATGGGGTGCTCCATGACCTCATGGACGTACTTGAAGCCTGCGAGCTGTCCGGGGTAAGCCATGGCGGAGTGACTGGCGTTGAGGAGACGGAGCTTGTGCTTCTCAAACTGCTCGACGTCGTGCACGTCATGGACAACCTGGACACCGACTTTCTCGAATGGAGGGCGGCCATCCGCGAACTTGTCCTCAACGACCCACTGCATGAAAGGCTCGGTGACAACGGGCCAAGCATCCTCGATACCGAAGTTCTCAGCGAGCGACTTGATGTCGTTCTCAGAGGTGCTGGGTGTGATGCGATCAACCATGGCGTTGGGGAAAGCACCCTCCTCATCGATCCACTTGGCAAGCTCAGGGTTGCGGAGCTTGGCGAAAGATGTGAGCATGTTACGGGTGATGGTTCCATTCTTCTGCATGTTGTCGCATGACAGGACGGTGAAGGGCTTGCGGCCCTCAGCGTGACGTCTGGCCAGAGCGGCGTAGAGGAAACCGAAGGTGCTAATGGGGGCGTTCTCGTTCTCGGGCTTGAGATCGTGCTGAATGTCGGGATGGTCGTCCTTCAATTGATGGGTGTTCTCGTTGTAGTAGTAGCCACTCTCAGTAATAGTGAGAGAAACAATGTGTGTGTCGGGATGAGCCATCTTTGCGATGACGGCCTCCCGGTCATCTGGGGCGAAAATGAAGGAGTTGATGCTGCCGACGACGTCGGCGAAGCTGCCCTTTGCAGAGCGCTCAATGACTGTGTAGAGGTGGTCTTGGGCGTTGAGGACATCGCGCATGGCGGCATCGTTGGGTCGCAGGCCGATACCGCAGATGGCCCAATCGCGCTCACCGTGCTTCTCGAGCAGATTGTCTACGTAGACGGCCAAATGCGCTCTGTGGAAACCACCAACTCCGACGTGGACAATGCCCTCCTTGAGGGACTTGCGGTCGTAGGAGGGGACCTTGACCTTCTGGTCTCCCTGCTGTGACGCAATAGCGGAGAGGTTGCTGCTGTTGAGCTTTAGGCGTTGTGTCATTTTGGCGGCTGTGATTGTGATTGTGTGTGAAGGAGGAATGAGAGGGAGGAAGATGCGAATGAAGAGGGTATCTAGGTGTGAGGTGTTGGTATGGAGAGGAGAGGGTGAATGCGAAGAGGAGGAGAGGAGGATGAAGTTTTGTTGTTATGAGGAATGAGGTCACCGCTCAAATGCAGAAGCTGACCGCCGGGTTTTGTGGTTTCTTGGATAAAAAGATAAGGAGAGGCCGGAATAAATTCGGGCAGCGAAAACTCGAACGTTCCCCCGTGTTCGGTGGACTCTTTGCTCAATTGATTTTGTCGTTTTCTTTTTTTCTGGTGGTGGTGGTGGTGGTGGTGGTGGTGGCTAAAAACTTAGTGGAGTGGGAGCCGTGGATCCGCGGTGAGACCGGCTTTGTTTTGTTGGTGAGGTCAAAGTGCCCCAAGATTATGGGGCCTGTGACGTGAAAGAGCCCCATAGTTTAGCTTTTATCAGCTTATCACATCCACGCTTGATTCAATCCCGAATCTTGCTGCCTGTCATGTCAATTCCTTAGTGGCGAATGATGAAAGAGATTTTCATCATGTTTTCTTTGTTTCGAATTCTGCCCTGATATTGCAACCTCACTGTGCAGCTCTGTACTGCGCTGACACTGCACTGCACACGCCGCAGAATCTGATCAGCACTGCACACGCCGTCATCGGCAGAAAACCTTGCATCATTGCTGCTTATCAAGACCTCTTATCGTGGAGCGATAGCTAAAGCTACAGTGGGTACCTTTCAAACAAGCTCAGGGCTCAGGCCACCTACACCTTGAAGGTCAAGCCAAGGATCGTGGGGTTGAGTTAAGTTCTTTGGGGTAGAGTAAAAAAGTCGACATGTCCAGGTGACTACTTGATCCATGTCACCATGAGCCTCATGGCCGCGGCTCTCAACGCGATAGGTCCCATGACCTGCACTTCCCCCAATTCCGTCCCCTAATGCATGCCGTTGAGCTGAAGAAGCAGGGGCAAGCTGAGGTCCCTGAACCTCAATGAGCGGTCAACTCAGGTACCGTCCCTGTAGGCAGCAGTATAACCAATGCTAGCGCGCGGGATGAAAAGAGCCTCTAGAGAACAGACTTTGTCTCCCCACGGAATGGACACGACAGAAGAACACTATATTTGGGGGAACCAACACTAATGGAATTGACAGCCAATTAATTCTGGTCCAATTGGTCGCTTTCCTACTCCGAACTTCGGATCAGGGTTTTATGCAGTCCGCGCGTCCTCACCTGCATGCCGAGGTGAGCTGAGGTGAGGTGAGAGGTCAGATCATAACTGAACAACTCACCGTAGCGACAACGCTCTTCACCACACAACGGCGAACTTGAACTTGCGGTGTCAAGGCATGCTTTTTGCAACCTCGGCACTTCGGGCGCTCCAATACATCCCGTGCCGACTGCATCACGCGCCAATTCCTTACAGTCACATCAGACCATCACCGAGAAAATGTGATGAATAAGATGCCTGTGTCATGAGAGAAGCTGAGCCGCGAAACGATGCTTGTTCACTAGCAATGAGCATAGAAAATAATGTAATTTATTACCCTTCTTCAATTGAAACCCTCATTAGTGCGTGCTCGCTTCACACTCAGCTTGCGGCATGCCAATGCAGCTGCGAATTCATGAGAGTATTGAAAGATGAAGATTGACTGCTCTTGTAGAAGTCACATTGATGTTCTGCGAGATGTGAGTAAATGCAGATGAGATCCTCGGAATAGGATATAGAGAAGGACTGGCAAGTAATTGTTGACCATAAGATAAAGTGTTAGGCATGTTATAAGCAAACTTTCCAAGCACTGCTAGAGTAACAGAGTCAAGGTTTCATCCAAGATCAACCGTCTATTTTCCGATTCAAAACTATGCTCGGTAAGTCTTGTCTCTTCTCTGCAATATATATCAGTTGCCATTGAATTGATAACTGTTCTCAACAATCGAATTTCTCCTATGGTGTTCTCTACAGTTTTGAAAACCAGAGCTCGCGATTATCTTACCACAGAGGACAGCTTTGTCTACATCAAAAGGCTGAGTGAGCGCGATACTATGTACCTAGTTTGTGTAAATCAGTATACATCAGACCTTGTCGACGAGCTCTTAGGAGACAGAGTTTTCTTGTCAAGGTGAGCGAGTCACCAGAGCAGTAGCAAAAGTCTAGCTGTACATTCGTAAGCCCAACAGCCCGGTCCCTACCAGATACTCTTCAATTCCCGGCCATGTCTAGCCTGCCCGGTCAACTACTGGATGTGAACTGACCAATTCCTGAATACCTCGTGACAGTCGGCCAACTTGCGGCTGGATTGCAATGGTCCGATGGGCCAACCCGCATTGTATCCCATTCCGCCACTTCTAAGTGGCCGACGGGGAAATGCATGTCTTTGATCGTCCTCCCGCGCAAATCCCGTGTCTCCAGATCTGACATCCGATTCGCCCCATCTGACTCGGCAATCTCAACCTAGCCAAACATGCAGTGATCTACGACGGGGCTGAAATCTCCGAACTCTATGTATTCAGTCCTGGGATATGTACTGGGCAAGGACTGGTAGTCGTCGCGAGACAATCACCACAGACTATGTCGTGTGCGACATGTATCTCACATTACCACTCGGCAAGATCGCCTCCGCCAAGTACTGCGCTGCCCTCTATCAGGCGACTGGCGTCGAGGCCTGCTCATACCACCCCCCCTCCATGAAAGGCATTGTCTCCAAGCCTGATGGAGAAGATCTCACCGGATCAAACGTCACCTACATTGCCAAGGTTGAGATCGACGACCCCTTCATTGAGCCTGATCCTTTTGCCGAGACCGACACAGAGGCCAAAGAAGCTTGCCTTGTGCGCGAGACTGCTCTTAAGTCTGAGCTGTCCGAATGCAAGGCTGCCGCCGCGGCCTCAAGCTCAGGATCTTCACATGATAGCTGTGCTCAGTGTGGTATCTTGGGAAAGAATGATCCTGGCCATTTCTCTCGGCGCCTCAAGATCGATTTAGCCGCTTGCAAGACCGGATGCGCTGCTGTTGGAGACGGCACGGCGTGCCGTTCCTACACCCATGATGGTGGAAGCTCTGATGCTTGCCTTCTCTACTACAAGCAAATTAGAGAGTTGGAACCCGCTGGTGAATTCAAGGTTGAAGGCGCTTGGCGCTCATGAGATAAGGAGTGTTGAGAAGGCATTGATCTCCGAGGACACTCCACCGTGCAGCCACGGCATCAAGGCCAGGCTGCAATGAAGTTTTATGACATGGCTCCGATGCTGCTGCAACTTGGTCGAACTCAGGTATATGGGATCTGTTCCTCTGATCTTATGATAGGCAAACAATTCAAGAAGTCTACCTTTGCTGATGAAACAAGAATACAAATGCTATCAAATGTGACCTGACCCTTTGGTAAATCGACACCATGCCTTAGAGAGTAGAAAAACTTAAGATCTAAAAAGAGGATGCCAAAATAAACTTAGCAAAGAGTGCTCTGAATCTAGGCTAGATTTACCTAATATTCTTATCCCTTAAGGTCAAGGTCCTGAGTTTCCTTGCCTCCTTTGGGTCATGTCTCATTATTCTAAAATAGTATGAAGCCGTCTTGGTATACTGTATCTTATTACCTTTATATTCGCATGTATTGAACTTATTCCTACCACGACCCTTCAGAACCTTCTCTGCTCCTACTACTACTGCCCTTTTTGTCTTCATGAATTACTTCAACCACATTCGAAACGATGATCCCTTTGGACGCGCTATAATCCGTCAAGTCATTCATACGGTGGGCTTCTGCCTTGACGATCCTTTCCTCGCTATTATTGAATGACAAATTCGCCGATATGGGGTTCGCGGTCGGTGGTCCTCGTCGGCTCGGGTCGTTGCTTTTGCCGCTACGTCCTCCTCCACCAATTGTCTGAAACCCGGAAGGATATTGGTAGGACGTCTTGTGAGAGGAGCGCAAGACACTTCCGAAGATTGGCGTGAGCCAGACCCTGAAGAGCGGAAAGAGGATCGGCAGATTAGTGGTCATTACGGCGACAAAGGCTTCGCGAGTGCCCCAGCTTCCAGCGAGCTCGGCTCCATGAACGGGATCCTACATACAGAAGTTAGGTCATGGTGCCGGGAAAACTAGCTCTATCAGAGGACGTACCACAAGGACGAAAACACTCTTCAGGGTTGCGCAGACGAGTACAAAGATACCGGCACCCAGCACAATCGTAGAAGCGATCTTCTTGATCATTTTCAAGCTCGATCCCCAAAGCATGGGGAGGGGAATTGCGATGAGATAGATATCAGTTGATATATTGGCTGCAAACGACACCCAAACAATAGGTTTGGAGATGGCTGGTTGACACGAGTCTAGAATGAAGAATCAGCACAACACCTGTGGTATCAAGACTGTGATACTCACTACCAGGATCCGGGTTGATCTGCCAGTACTTGTGAAAAGGCCGACAGCCAGCAAATATGGCTATCATGGTCGCGATGAAAGTGCCGATGACAAGGCCGAAACCCACGTATATCCGGATGCGATAAGGTCGGCCAAGCCCCGTCTGGTCAATGTTAGATGAGTTTCTTTGTGATTTGTTCGGGGTTTCATACCGTCAGACGAGTGTAGAAGTACAGCATAGATAGCTTCAAGGACCAAATCAGAGCAGAGTATATGGTCCAGCCGGCAACCTGGATCTTGGAGCCAATTATCCTTAACATTTGAGTAAGTAACTTGTCGAGTGATGGAAGATACTAAATCACCAACCTGAAGTCATATTCTGGATCACTTGGTGACAATGCCGCTCGCTGAGAGTCCGTCATTCCATTGTTTGCGAGACCTTGGGCAAGGATCCCGATGTTGTATGCAAGAGTTGTCTGGATGGTGTAAAAGGCCTGATCGAGTCAATATCCATCTAGTCCACAGAACTCATTGGGAACTCACAATCGAAATGGCCATGAGATAATCCTCAGCCTGGAGACTTCTCAAACCATCCACTCTCATACGAGCATAAAATCTGAGGATCGTCGAAGCGACGCCGACCGCATATAGCGTCCAACCTTCAACAACAGGGTCTGACATCTTTAGAACCAACAAAGGTATCAGAAGCAAAAGGAAACAAGAGAGAAAGAACAAAGATCAGCGGCCCATGGGCCCGGGTCCTGGACACTTCGCCCCATAAGTAAGCAGGCAGACTAGGGGCCTGAATGCACAGAACATTTTTCCTTTCCACTGAATCACAAGCGTCCCAGAATCTGCACCCCTGAGTTTAGTGTGCACATGCCGCCAAGAAATCTTAGCCAAAGGTGCCAAAAACAACTTCTCTGATGGCCTGCTAAGTTAAAGTCGACTTACCTAACTTGTTTTGTCATTTGGGATAGGACCTGGGTTTCCTTGCCTCCCCTGGCCATGCTAGACATGCAATGTTCAGTTGGTTGGTGCTCGGGGATAGCTGGGAATATTGGGGACCGAGCCGTACCTGACACTAAGCAGTAGCAGGGCAAAGTCTGGCTAGCTCGTGAAGAAAATGACGCGCCAAGAGTTGAACAGTAAAGCCTGTGATACGGCAAGCTACGGTTGAGAACGCCACGCACGTAATTAGAAATAACCATATTCCTTCGACCTACTGTAATTTGTTTGAGATGTTCTCTTTTGGCGGCATGCATATAAGATCTCAGTTAAATCAGAGGTGGCGCTGTCAATGCTACCTCGACAATCTGGGGAGATGTTCGAGATGCTCTGTTGCAGTCTCAGATCTAATTTCCACTTCTGACAACACCTCACTTCGACGATCATTTCTTCTTCGTTCTTAGCATTCGGTCTATTCACGAGACAAAAGGTCCCAATACCCACTGGCCTTCGGAAGCCTCGGTAGGCCTCCTACAAATCGATGCTGATGGCTCTAAGATTGCGCTCAGATCATGTCCAGGAAGCCGATTGGACAATTGCATCTTCGGGATCAGCAACCCAGGGAATAAACCCCCGAAATAAATACTGGGTTTCAGTTAAAAGTCAGGGATTTTCCGCGCCGGTACCCGTTCCGCGGGTACTAAAATGGATCCATCTCCACGCTATGACTTTGAGATATTCGATCGGGTCGTACCAAAATCTCCGTTATCCTGAGAAGGTGGAGGAACTAACATGCAGGCTGCTGAACGAAGAAGGTGGTTATGGATATTGGCAAGGGTATTAGGAATAATTTCCCTTTTTCTTGTCAAGCCTCGGCTGCAGGAACAAATTAGGGGAATTTGTCAGGGATTGTCTTTTCGATGTAACGTTGGCCGATGGCAGACAGGAAGAAAAAGGCGAACCAGGCAGGTTAAATATGCACTTGGTCCTCGTCGATCCCTTATCTGGAAGGGGTCTTTGATCTAAGGGTCCAAGTTGTGTCTTGCATTTGCACGTGGTTTCTTATAATGCATTTCTCAAGTAAAGTCTTTGCTGCGTTGGCAGCTTGGAGTACCGCAGTCACATGCGCGACAACTCCTTTTGCTCGTAGCGATGCCATTGGGACATGTTCTGAAGACCTGAGCCAACTTGGTAAGAAGTTATCCAAGTCGGCCAAGGTCTACTGTCCTGGATCTGCCGAGTTTGAGAAGGCTACCACTCGTTGGTCCGTTCTGGATGCCCCCAAGGTCAATATTGTTGTCGTTCCTGGTACAGAAAAGGATGTCGCTACGACTGTAAGTGTTTCTTAACTAACCGTTGATGGCAAGTGCTAATGACTGCTTCTCAAGGTCAAATATGCCAACTCCAAGAACCTCCCTTTCCTCGCCTACAACACTGCTCATGGAGCCATCACCACTTTGGGTCGCATGGACCATGGTATTGAGATTTATCTCAGCCAGCTGAACAAGGTCGAAGTCGCTGCTGACGGCAAGACTGTCACAATTGGTGGCGGTACAAGGTCCAAAGAAGTCACCGACACACTTTGGGCTGCCAACAAGCAAACCGGTACGCTTTGATGTTTTCCTCTAGCCAATGATGACGTGCTAATCACTACCAGTGACCGGAACATGTGAGTGCGTTAGCTATATGGGTCCAGGCCTTGGTGGTGGACATGGCTGGCTCCAAGGCCATCACGGTATCATCGCAGATCAGTGGGTCTCGCTCAACATTGTCTTGGCTGATGGATCGTTCAAGACCATCAACAAGAAGTCCGATCTCTGGTGGGCCCTCAAGGGCGCTGGCCACAACTTTGGTATTGTGACTTCTATCACTTCCAAGGTGTATGAGATCCAGCACCGAGACTGGGCCATCGAGACACTTGTTTTCAGTGGCGAGCACGTCGAGAAGTTGTATCATACCGCCAATGAGCATCTCCTTCGGAAGCAGCCTGAGGGTGTCATTAACTGGTCCTACTGGGTTCATGACCCTACTGCGGACCCCGAAAACGTAAGTTTCTATCCTTCATTCATTGTTTTGGTCCAACGTTAACGTTTGCAGCCTGTCATCCTCTTCTGGCTCATCCAAGAAGGCGTGAAGAGCATCGATCCCAAGATCTCCAAGCCTTTCCACGATCTGAACCCCATTGCCATCTCTCCTGAGTCTGGGGACTACCGTGACCTTGCCAAGTGGACGCAAATCGATGTTGATGCTGTCCCATGTCAGAAGAATGGTCTCGTCAACCCCCGTTTCCCTCTCTATCTTCAGGAGTACAATGTCTCCGCCATGAAGAACGCATGGAATCTCTTTGCCAAAGAGACGGGGCCAGATACTCCTTTCAACACTTCCATCTTCATGTTTGAGGGTTACTCCACCCAGGCGGTTCGAGGTACTAATGCCCAGAGTGCTGCTTTCGCATTCCGCCAGGAGAACATCCTCACTGCTCCCTTGATCACATACAAACCTGGAGATGCCGAGCTTGATAAGAAGGCTGCTTCTGTCGGTAATGAGTTGCGTCATATTCTCCATAGAGCTTCTGGCCAGTATCACATGAGCGTCTATGTTAACTACGCTTTTGGTAATGAAGATCCAATTAGCTGGTATGGAAAGGAGAACTGGCGGCAAGAGCGTTTGAAGAATCTGAAGAACAAGTATGACCCCAAAGGAAAGTTCAGCTTCTTCGGTCCTGTGGCATAAGAGATTGCCGAAGTCAGGAGTTGAGGCATCGTCCCCATATCGCCGTCTATCTATAAACCATATTTAATCTTAAATAGAATTCGTTCATTCATCTTATTCGAATCACCTTTGATTTGATTATCTCTATCATTGGTATACCTGTGCTTCTCTTGCCATGAATGGAGCGGCTTCAACCTGCTTTTCTGTCAGTCTGCAACTGTAGAAGTCTACAACCCGAGCCTCTGCGCAAAGGTTCGTTTTTGGTAGGTAGGATAAGCGCTGTCCCAACTCACAACTTGTCATGGGGTGTCTAACGCTGAAAATAGCATCTTACGCAAGGAATGATGACCAAAGCGCTCCAAATCCTGCCACCAGCTAAGAATTGGCCCCCAACCGGGACGCAGGGCTGCGGTTTTCTGGCCATTTGTGGGGGCCCAACAATGAGACTGATAAGATCAAGCGGCCGACAATCTGAGATCCTCCAGACCTCGATCAACCAAAGATCAACGGGAACAATCGGGGGTAGAGATGGTTGCCTTGATGCATATAAGATTTCAAATAAGGCTGGCGCTTACAAGACTTAACCCGTACCAGAAGCCCGGACCTTGTGCTACTAAAAACCGGAATAAGGCCTGATCTGGCTAAGCGATTCTGATCCTTCAAGCCGTTGGACAGGGTTTAGTGGTCAGCAGAGAGATTTATTGGTCCTCGCTGTGAGAGATATGGATAAGGTGTTTCCATAAGCAAAAAGCTGAAGCCAACCCTGCACCTTCATTTGGGGGCCGTATTGATGTCGAAAATAACCAGAGTAGCATTGAGAATCTCACTGCATTACTTCAGTGCGAGGGAAAGGCTTTTTTCTTGAGGCTGTTGGGATGCCAAGTTGTCAGCGTAGCATTTGTCTCAGGGTAGTGGTGGTGGAGGTTGAAAAAAGCACAAATTTGAGAGCCTTATGAGGACGTACATTATCTCCTGTTCAAGACCCCTATATAACTGCGCGCCATCAAAGATGTGAACGCGTGTTTCCTACCTTTTGCTACCATCGGTAAACAGTGTTCGAGTAGCTAGAGACTCCTCACAATCTTTCCAAAGACCAAGGGACAACCTCGCCAAGATGTTCAGGTTAGCTCTTCCAGCCCTATCACAATTGACTCCCCCACTTCATCTTGGCAGCATCCTCCTTCGGCAATCTCAAAATCCAGGCACTAACAACATGGTCTTGGTAGTCAAAAGCCCAAAAAGCCAGTTGCTGGCAATAAAGGCCCAACTGCTCCCGCACAACGCCCTCCGGCCGGACGTCCTCCAGCTGGTCGACCTGCCCAACAACCCGCCCTGAGACCTGTTCAACCTACCCAACGACCACAGCCCGCTCAGCGACCGTCACAGCCTGCCCAGAGGCCTGCTCAACGCCCGGCCGGTTATCAACCGGTGACTGCTCCGAGACCGGTTGCAGGTGCTCCTGTTGTCGGAAGACAGCCTGCTCCCAATCATGGAATGCAGATGACCCAAATGAAGAAACCGCAACAAGCTGCTCGCCCTCCAGCCAAGAAGCCAGCGCCCGCTCAGGGGCAGAAGGCTGGACCACCAAAAGGTCATGCTCCGCAAGGTGGAGGCCGGCCAGTCCAAAGGGCTGGACCTGTACCAGTTCAAAGCTATCATCCCGGTCATCCTCAACAGGCTCACCCCCAACAAAGCCACAAGAAGAGCTCGTCAAACATGAAGTATGCAGCTGGGGGCGCTGTCGTCGGTGCGGCTGGCGCAGGAGCAGCTATGTATTACCTGAACAACGACTCAAACGAGCCGACCTACGTGATCAACAACTACGACAACAGTCAGGGCCCAGAGAACATCACCTATACTCAGTACAACCAATATGAAGGTGACTATATAGACAATGGAGACTATCGGTATGACAGCGATGGAGACCGTCAATACTCTCCAAACAGTCCAGACGATGATAATCGCTACTACGATAATGATCAAGGTCAGTATGCAAATGACACAAACTACGGCAACCAATACGACAATGATCAGGTGGATACGTCGTACGATGCCACAAGATACCAACAACCAAGTGACCAGCAAGACTATTCTAATGGGAACAACAATGGTGGTGACGGTGGTAACGATGATTGTTGTGGTTGCGACAATTGCTGCGAATGTGATAACTGTTGCGACTGCGATGGCTGTTGCGGGTGCTGCGGTGACGACAATGGCAAAGACGGTGGCGGAGGATGCGTTGTAATGTAATGTAATTTTTCTCGGAATAGATGGATGACGGGTTCTACTGTATACGTTAATTGCAGCTTAGCGATCATATGTTTTTATGACACTTGTTTAATGGCATTGAAGTATAAGGTAGGGTGAGACGAGGACGTGAGTGATCATGGACAGTTAGTCGATAAACAATAGAATGTAGCACGACTTGCTTAGTTTTGCCAGGTGTGACAAGAAACAAAGTCGCATGGAATACCAATGGCAGCGTCGCAATCGACAAAAGAAAGAAGTTTCTATGCTAGGAAAAAGAGGCAAAAATGTCAAAAGGATTGTCCGCTGTGAGGTTCGAACTCACGACCTTTGGATCACTCTGACCTATGATCAGATCACAATCTAATATGAGACCAACGCTCTAACCAACTGAGCCAAGCAGACTGTGCTAATTGGATATCCGTAAAAGCTTCGTCGGTGCTCATCAACGGAATAGGGTACCATTTCCCGCAAGTGCTAGCCCAACAGTGCAACACCTACCAACCATGGATTACCTGTTCACACTAGAGTAGTCTAAATATGTATGTCGAGACTCATGAATGGGTGACACTTAGTGCATGAGTATAATAATCTTTACATCAGTAAAATCAGTTTGCCATTAATTGTGGCGTACTGGGGTCTTGTAATATACGTTTAAAATAACTGCGTGAAAACGCTAGATATTCATTAAGAAAGTAACTATTATACAGCCAAAGTTTTCCCATGCCCGATACCCTTTGAACTAAATCCCAGACCTAACCTCCGACGCCTTGCTTTCGAACCGTATCTCGCTGGAAGTCCTCGACTCTGAGACAGTGGCCTTTGAAGCATTCTCATATGCAACCTGAACATTTGTAGTCCGCATAATTCCGTTGTATGTCATGATCTCTTCCTCAGATCCGGTTGGTGAAACACTGCGAATCTCAGTATGTTGGGTTCGCGAAACTCGAAGGTCTTTCAGACGAATGTCATCGTGGTTATGTGATCGCATTCCACCTGTTCCGCGGGAATTGTTGGCATACCGGCCGCCGTATGGAGTTCCAGATGGTGCGTCTGAGCTTCCCCCAAAGAGAGCAGGGAACCATCGTCGGAAAAGCGGTCGGAGAGCAGGGACCGATGCGCAGATGATGGCAAGGTTCGTTTCGACGGCACCCCAGACGGGAAGGACGGAGTAGAAGGTGTCTTCGCCGGGACTCGGCCCCTGGACGAGTTGGTGATAGATGGAGACGACACGGATGATGCCAATGATACCGACTCTGGATAGTGTTAGCATCGATCTCGCGAAGCTGTAGACGCTACTTACACGCTACCCAACAAAAACACGCTCAGGACAGCAATCTTGGTCGCCCATCGCATGGTCAAGCCAAGGAAGATCCAGAAAGGGAGCGCAACGACCAGGAAGTCTGTCACGATTGTGATGCAAGATGCAATGACATGGAACCAGTTATTGACGCAGTGAACGCCAGGTTCCTTTCGCAGGGGAAAGTCCCAATTAGCCTCAATGGGCCAGCATTGGAAGAGAGCTGTGAAGAAGATGGCTACGGCATGTGCAGCATTGAAGATATTGAGCCCGTATATGGCGTATCGCACGTTGGTTTTATGACCACCCAAGCGAAGGAGGAACACTAGAATCGAGGCCTTGACGAGTGCCAAGACGGGATTGTAGAACATCTGCACGAGAAAGTTCCACCAGAAGCCAGCGGCCAGATTGAGGTCTTTTGGGACATCCCGCTCGTGGAATCCCCAGTAGTTGAGCTTCATAACTGTATGATTGTCAGCAAAAGAGTTACTCTGGTGCAACAAGATTCAAGTCCACGTACACATGTAAAGAGGTCCAATCATCATCAAGGCAAAGAACTGTCGATGTTAGATCAACACCAGGACATGAAGATGCATCAAACTTACCAAAGCTGCCAGCACGAGCCAGTCATCTATCCAAGATAAGCTTTCGGTATTGATTGCACTGACCATGAGAGAAACTCACCTAAGCCAACGGTCCGTGAGGTCACGCGACTGTACATGCGCATAGATACAATGATGATCGATAAAGCCGGAAAGATGAAAAGCGCAGCTAGGCCTTTTTGCTGAAGAGGAGTCGTAGGAAGATTCAAGGGGTTAGGATAGGGCGGCGGCCCTGTTCGAGTGTATAGATGTAATGAGGCCATCGTGAATGTCAAACCAACATAAAAGAAATGGTATGTCAAAAGTATGATGGTGCAGAGTTTGCACCATGGGACGTCAAGCGACACTAGAAAGATTGACACAGACTCGATGTGACCGCTGATCCGGGCAAAGACGGCCGCTGCGATCGATCGTCGCTCTGTATGTACATGTAACAGGACGAACCAGGGGGGAACCGCTGACACGGTATTGGCACAAGATGAAGACGATCGCTTAGATGGGGCCCTTCAGATTTATGTATAGTAGATATCCAGGGGAACCCAGCAACGCAGAATCTTGGATGAAGAACGCGGAGACCAATAAAACAGGATGAGAAACAGAGTTCATGAGGATTGTCACCCAAGTGACCCAACATGGTCAGCATGGTCCGTGGTTTGGGAGCTGAACCACCATCTCTTGGTGCTTCGAGTAAGACGAGTTCCTGGTTCCTGGACTGCACAATACGGCGTTGTTCATGTACGATTACGAAAGGGGAAAGTGATTGCCGGCATATCTCAGTGCGTCTGGTTCTGGAAACAAGGAATTGTGTGTCAACTACCGGTGATCCAGCTACTTGTGTGTCACACGTCCCGTGTGCGGTTGGACTGAAGGGCTGCTAAGGTTTTCTGTGCCGCAAGACTCCGGTACGATCTCCGGTGTTCCGCCAAGAAGACGCATATGTTTCCCCTCAGGTGCGTTTTCGATCATGCATGTTGGTTGTTGAGGAATCCAAAGTAGAAATGATGGAACATTGTGGCTTGCAACTAAACAGGCGTTGATGCCCAAGGCTTCCGGTGGTGGTGGTGGCTGAAACTAGGCCGTCAACAACTTGTTTTCAGGACGAGGTATGACGCCTTCGCTAGATCCTGTTGGAAGCCTCCCACACAATTCATTTCGATACCATATACGAACTACTCCTTCTGATGTCTTCAAGCATTATAAATTGGGAGGATGAACTAATATCGTTAACCCAGAGCAACGGTTGGGTAATGTGTGATTAGGTTCAGGCTAGATCTCTTAGCATTTCCATCAAAGGTGAAGATCAGCATCCGCGCGATTTTCTTGAACAATCTCGAAGAACTAACGTACATATGCATGAATGAACGTAGCATGCATCTCTAAGGGATGGATGATGGCTGGACCCTGAGCATGTTTTAACCGAGCACCGCTAAGGGCTAGGGGAGTAAGAGACTCGGAACTATAATTCTGACTGACAGAAATGCTTAGGCCACTTTAGGATGAGTTTAGGCTGCTTTAGTATAACTTAGACAAGTTTTGATCAGTTATTTCTTGCACCCTGAAAGATGGCATTGTGCTTTTTCTGCTTCCCAGGGCTTGCTGCTGCTCTAGCTCCATCACAAAGACACTACCGAGATGCTCACATCTACCCCGGATCCCCGACCCTTGTTAAGAGTGCCAACCAGTTGAATGGCCCGGAAGGCTGAACGATGATCCTTCGCTTGTCTCAGCTAAATGATAATCCGTTGATCTTTTCTCCATGCAGATTGCCATCATCTTTTAGCACGAAATTTTACGAAGCCGATCCCACTCTGACAAAGATTCTCAACCAACAGCCGCTCAAATTTGAGTTCTCGCTTCACTTAATCGCCAGGATCATGAACTTTGTCGGTCTTGAATGCCCAGCCTGTATAATTGGTCCGTCCGCGGGTTCCCGCTCCAATCACCTTTAAGGTATGTCATGGACTATTCTAGTCTGACGGGAAGCGGCTTCGACCCGAATGCGCTCCAATTGAGGGTTATGCATAATGTAACAGTAATTCTATGCCAAGCTCAGAAATCGACCATCATTTCCACATATAGAGAGACCCTTGACTCTTGGAGGGACGAGAGGCCGCATCCCCGCGGCGGCTGAAAGAAATGGCGCCAGTGGGATGAAAAGCGCCCGCACAATCGGCACAGATTTTGACAGGAAATCGGGGTTCAGATGCTTCCGATCTGTATGATATTCTCTCCTCTCTCGACGGCAATGCCTCGCGGCTCTTGCTCCACCGTCGCCACCGCACTCCATCGTCAAGCATGGATATCTTTCGGCCCATGAACCTGAGCATCAAGGTGATTACTACCTAATACGTGCTAAACACCGCCAACTCGCGTACGTACCTCTGTAGGATTGCAGTAGTAGCATAAAACTAGTGTTCGATATATAGACGGCATAGAAAGCCATGTGGCATAAGCCGATCTCTCCCCTTTCCCTCTCTTCCCTCCCCCAACCCTCTCGAGTCCTTGGCGTTCTGTCCCGTCCCTGCAGTCAGCCTCAAAACTCTACAAGATGCAAGGCTCTCACATCTCGTGGCTGATTGCCGCGCTTGTTCCTTTCACCCTTGCTCAGACGATCGAAGTCGATGGCAAGACGGTCCGTACGTAACACCGTCGCCTGCAGATATGGTTTTCTTTTGCTCTCATGAACCATTGCTAATCTGAAACATGTGGTAGCGGCCAATGAGAAGAATGTTGCCCCTGCGTGGTCTGAGCCACCGGCTGCATCGTCGAGGTATTCTTTTGTTGATGATACCCCTCGGCTGACCGATGCCGTGCTCACCAACCTCACGGACCTCAACCTCAGTGAGGTTGATCTATTCTACTTTGCTGATACCAAGGGTTCAAAGAAGAGATCTGCTGCTGTCGCCTCAAAGTGCAAGGTCTTCCCTGGTGACAAGCTTTACCCAAACAAACTCATCTGGAAGGTCTTCGACCTCCTCAGCGGAGGTGCCCTTATCAGCACAGTTCCCCTTGGCTCTGCCTGCTACAAAGGAGAGCATTACAACAAGGAGAAGTGCGATTTTCTCCTCTCAAACTGGCATAATTCAACCACTCAGTTAGTTTCATCCTCGATTGTGCCGTCTCATACAGGCATCAGACTAACATTGTGAAGCATCGATGATCCCACTTCGGTCATGTCACCCCTGTTTGAGGGTGCCACCTGCGAGCCCGAGAACGCCGCTTCAGGCTCCAAGTGTACCATCGGTGGCTTCCCTCTTTACTCTATCAAAGCCACGTGTGTTGCCCATATCCAACTCGCCGTCAACTTTGCTCGCAACCTCAACCTCCGTCTTGTCGTTCACAATACTGGCCATGACTTCCTTGGCAAGAGCACCGGTGCTGGTGCCCTGAGCATCTGGACACATCACCTCAAGGACATCAAGTTCACCAAGAACTACCGTGGTGCTAGCAGCTATACTGGCCCTGCCTTCAAGATTGGTGCTGGTATCCAAGTCAAGGACCTGTACCTGGCTGCCGACCAGCAGGGTTACACTGCTGTTGGCGGAGAGTGCCGTGTAAGTCTTCCTTTTCATCGGTCATCACTCCCAGACACTAATGGGTCCCTAGGATGTTGGTGTTGCTGGCGGTTATCTTCCCGGCGGTGGCCACTCCCCCATCAGCCCCATCGCCGGTCTTGCTGCCGACCAGCTCCTCAGCGTTGACATCGTCACACCTGATGGTCGCTTCGTCACTGCCGACGAGAAGCAGAACACTGACCTCTTCTGGGCAGTCCGTGGTGGTGGTGCTGCCACCTGGGGCGTTGTTGTCTCCATGACCGTCCGAGTCTACCCCAAGATGAAGTTCTCTGGTATGACCTGGAGCGTCAATACCAAGGACGCTGGCATCTCTCAGGAGGCTCTCTTCAAGGCCCTTGATGTCTACTGGCGCCGCTTCCCCGAGTACTCTGACAAGAACAGCTACGGCTACAGCTTCATGTTCCCTGCTGGTAACGGCAGTTTCCTTTGGACCATGAACCCTTGGATGATCCCCAACATCTCTGTTGGCGAGTTCAAGAAGATTGTCCAGCCTCTCCTTGATGAGTGGAAGGAACTCGGCGTTGACCCCAAGCCCACATTCTTTGAGCATGACCGCTTTTACCCTGCTTGGAAGACACATTTCCCTGCTGAAAACGTCGGTAACTACAATGGTCGCTCCGGGTCTCGTCTTATTCCCCGCAAGAACTGGAATGACCCCAAGCTCCTCAACAACACCATCGACGTTCTCAAGGGTATCCTTGCTGACGAAGGCATCCTCATTATTTACAACATCAATGCCAAGCAGCAGAACACTCCTCCCAACTCTGCCAACCCTGCCTGGCGCGACGCCAATATGTTTGTTATCACTGCTCTTAACTGGAACTACACCGACAGTGAGGAGGAGATTGCCAAGGTCAACAACGAACTCACCCATGGTGTCATGGAGCGTCTCAAGGCTGTCACTCCCGGCGGTGGTGGCTACGGTAACGAAGGTGATGTTATGGATCCCGACTTCGGTCAGTCCTACTTCGGTTCCAACTATGCCAAGCTTTATCAGCTGAAGCAAAAGATCGACCCTTACGGTGTATTTTATGCTCCTACTGCTGTTGGAAGCGAGGACTGGTACATCACTGATCACCCAGCGTACGTGATCAAGCAGACCGGCCGTCTTTGCCGCAAGTAATTAGCCTAGCGCAGAGCTCCTTTTCATTGTATATACTTCTATTGCGCTCCTTGCTTGATGTAAAACAAGAATAATTTGAAGCCTGTCAGGCTGCTCTTTGCAGACTGACCAATTGCATTCCTTATGACACTGTTTCGCGTGAACATACGGGCCCGTCGCCCGTGCCAACTCAGGCTTTTGTTTGTTGGTATATTTCGCGTGAGGTACCTACCGATTTTACACTACGAAACTATTTATGAATAAGGCCTGATAGGTAAGGACCAGGATGTCACTTTCTCCATAACTACCTCTCCCACATATGCTTCGGGGAGCAAACTCAAGCCTTCAAAAGATGATGCTAATATGAATTTGGTCAAGACTCCCCTAAACTTAGGCCAAATTACCTACCTAGATATTCTTATCGCTTAGAATCAAATTCGCAAGCTTCTTGCCTTCCTTAGACGTGTTGGCAGTCTTGGCTTCTAATTGTCTGTCTCAGTGTGTATATCTACTTCATCCCCGCACTCCTACCAGGTATCCTGGTTGTGATCTTTGAACTTATGCCAAGTTGACTCGTCAAACCGGCCACTATTAGTTCCAGCATTCCATAATGCTCCTCCTCCATCCTTGATCAAAATGTACCCTCTAGGATCCTCAATATTCATAGCAAGTTGCTTTAATCCAGGTCAGTAAGCGGGGTCGAGTGATGGGACTTATTTACCTTGATTCCTTCTTCTTCTTTGGCAATTGCATCGACTAAGCGTTCAAGACTTCCGTAACTATCAATGCGCCATTGATACTCAGCAGTATCCATTTCGGCCACGTAATCATGATTGTAGCCAAACCAAAACCTTCGGATGGACCCTGCAATAGTTGCAACAGTGTACTCACCGAGATCTCTAGACACGGACTTTGGGAAACGCCAGTAGGCCGAGTTATCCATCATGGTGATGAAAAAGAAACCTTTGGTACCAAGGCTTATGTGTTTGGGACATCCAAACTTTTGGTGCTTTTCGAGCCATGCGACGAGCTTCGGATACTCGGTCGCTAACGAGTCGGACCAACCTGCTCCAGATATTAGTAACTATCTATATCAAAAAACTGAGCTTTGACTTACATGTCCAACAGTTAAGGTCACTTCCAGTATGATAGTGGTAGAGCCATGATCCGTTGGCGCCTAGTGCACAAATCTTGTGTTTATCATTGTCACCTATCAATGGCTTCAGGTCGTTTTGGCGGCATCTGTGGCTGGTAAGGTACTTTATTAATAATGAGAGGACTTTCACTTACTCAAAGCTTTCCCCTTTATTTCCAAAGAAGAAGTCCTTTCTTGATAGGAACAAGGAAACGTCCCAGGGGGGCTTTACATAATGAGACATTGAGCTTCGAGGTCCCGTTCTCGAGATCCCCATTCTAGCAGTTCCACTCTCGCTGAGCTGAAGGCGGAGAATCTGGAGTTCCTTGGTAGTTTCTTCGGTTCGTTGAAGCATCTCATGTTCTCGGATCTTGCGTTGCTCTTCCAGACCCTCAATCTTCTTGTCCCGTTGGCCCACCCGCTCTTGGCTTTCTTGGTACTTCCCTTCCAGGACTTTGAAGCGACGTCTCTGTTCTTTCATCTCTTCAAGACTGACCTTGAGATTTTTTCGTTCTTGATTGAGATAGTCAATCTTTTTCTTCATCGTCTCGCGATATTGGCGTTGTTCTTCGGCTGACTTTTCGTCCTGGTCCTTCCGGGCTTGCCTCTCCATTTCGAGGGCTTCTGACATCTCCTTGATGACCCTTTGCTCAGCTAGAAGAATGTCCGAGTTAAGGCCAATGCCAGCTTCAGTCTCATTTAGATCCTTATGCTCACTGACCATTTCCTTTTGAATGGAAATAGTGACTCGATTGTTTTTGGCAACAGTTTTGAGCAGGGACATTGCGGATGAGAGGGTATTATTATGACGATTGACTTGAGCGCCTTCTTCGACCAGGGCTTCCCAAAAACCATCCGTGGCGATCAGCTCTTGCTCTCGCTTTTCTCCCGTGGCTGCGTTCTCGGCTTCCCACATAGTAGTGACAAGAATAACGTTCTTGAGACTGTCCTTTCCACAGAGCTTCCGGAACATCATGAGGTTCTTTCGAGCAGATCCGCCCATACGACGATCTGTGATTCTATGAAGGTATAGGATCCCGCTCAGTTTGACATTGTCTTCATATGTCTTGGCAAGACATAAAGCAATCTCTTTGAGAACTTCGGTATCTGATCGATTCGTGTCATCGAACCCCGGAGTATCCAGCAGATATATATCAGAGGTATCTGACCATTTGCATTGGTATGCAGTGACGTGCTGTGTACCTGCATCGTGTTAAGACGAGACCGTGTCAACTAATAAATGACATGGCCGAAACGTACAAGCTTGCAGATCATGGCCAACGGGAACATCTTGTCCAGTGCACAGCGAGATGAAAGTGCTCTTCCCAGACCCAGTCATCCCCATAATAGCTATCAAAATGTCACTCGACCTCGGCCTAAAGCCTAGGAATACGTCGCCCATGGTGTCAGTTTGTCTTTGCTCGGGACAATACACGGTGTCTGAAAGAAAGAGAGTCTGTACCGAGCAAAGCTCCGTCAGTTGAGTGAATTTTGTCCTTTATGCAGTTGCCTGAGTCTGGGGCATCCTATCCGCTGCGTGGCACTGGGGTGACAAGCGACCATCGGATTTGCGGGAAGCGAGGTAGGCAACCCAAGCTTCATTCTCAGCGTATCAATTGCTGCGAGTTGGAGCTTCATCACAGTTGATGAACATGCTCAACCCCGCTGTGGCTTGCAGCATCATTTCAGCGTGACCTCTTGCATTATCGTGGTGATGCGACGTTCAGGCTGATTGCGATATGGCGTATGTCATTGGCTGATATCACTACAATTTGACATGGTTGCTTGCTGGCTGTAGCACGACCTGGCAGTAATGCATACAGGGGGTTGCCTAACGCCTTGGCATTTGTGGCAAGGCATATTTATTGGAGTGGCCATGGGACAAGAGAAGTCAGGACCTTTATTCTGGGTAGCAAAGATTTAGGTAAGTTTAGATGAGCTTAGGGAGACTTAGTGGACCTCGACTTGGCGTTCTTCAAGTCAGTTAATTTTGACATCTCAAGTTTAGGTCAGAATTATTCTTGGTGGTTGCGCGAGGGCATGAGCGCTAAAATAATCATCATGCAGACAGCTGAAGACAGGGTTTAGTTTTTAGATCAGTTTCTGTCCTTCGCCAAGTAAACACGAGGTAACTGAAAACCCTGTTCCTTTGTATCTTAATTATTTGTAACGAATTGTCATCCTGCAGAAGCCAGCTGCCAATCGACCATACCTGCCGAGTCTTATCCACCATCTTCACAAACATCGCTTTTTACCGAGGCCAGATCTACGGAAACTGCTTTCGTCTGGGTCGGATACTACATCTTGATCGAATAACTGATAATAGTGTCTCAGGATCGGCGATATAAAACTTTCAATTGGTCCAGAAGAGTAAAAACAGATGTATAGACATATGAGCATCCGCCTTCTCCATTCTTTCAGGTATTCTTGCTGTTTCTGATGCTCAAAGCCCAGCTGTCTTTGGACTTCAGCATGAAATTGACAAGGACCATATCAGATTTGATGAAACTGCAGCGGGGATCGTCCTCAGCGATCACTAGGCCATCTGTAGGATCGCTTGCAAGGTGAACTCAGAGCCTTGCAAAGGCCTCCCCTTAGGATTGGATCATGATCCTCGGGATAGAAACAAGAAGTTGGGTAACAAAGACAGGACTCGGAGTTATGGATAACAGCAGTAGAGATGGGCAAAAGGTACTTGCGCCAAACAGATGAAGCGCATTTCGTGGACAAAAGGAAAGGGGCACAGGGAGAGATTCGATCACACTCAGGACGAGATTTCTAGGATATTCATCAGAAATATAAAGGTTGAAATCAGACGTAATTGCAGCTGGAGCTGCCATCTTACAGATTCCTGTTATACCAGTGCCTTATTTTAACAAGGTACAGCTGGGATGACGCTAGACCTGCCCAGGATGAGAGAAAATAAGCCTGAAGAAGGCAGGGAGTTTCTGAGCATAATTAGATCCAGTTGGTTGTTTTTTAGTCTGTATATACGTCATATGCTATCTGTTTACTGCTAAGCCTTACTCAACTGCCGGAAGCGAGTGCGCGTACCTGAGGCGAAAGGCCCACTATACGGCTATTGAAATAGGGAATAATCAAGATTTACCGTCTATGCACATGAAGCCACTGGACTCGCTGCATGGAAATTGCGTTTGGCGCGAAGTCCGAATTTCCGGGAATGGTGGGGACCGAATGCGAAAAACTCCCAACTTCCGCTGAGTCAGGAGTCTGATCCAATCCCGTTGTCAGATTTGCCATGGCTTTATCACCGTGTCCGAGCCCGGGAGGCTTAATAAACGGAGATTCGGGAAGACAGCTGAGTTTGGCGGCGGCGGCATGTAACACAACCCCGTTGACAGCTCAGGGGAATGGCATGATGTTTTTTATATTTGAGATTTATAAGTAAACAATATGTCCTGAGTCTATCTTCAACCACTAACTAAAAGCCGTATCCGATTCTTCCATTTCATCCTCCCACAACTTACTTGATACACAAAAAGCATCATATATCCACCATGACATTAATACCACCTCGATCGTCCAACCGAATCTCTTCACGGTCTACACCATTATCAGTCAGGATGAATACCTACATAATACCCGTCATTATGACGGCCTTGATGGTCCAGCTCCTGTTCCTGGCAAATATGTCCTACCTCTTTGGCTCCCTCTTCAAGTCCTCGACACGAATGCACAACCTCAAGATCCTCGCGATCGATTTCGACGGCAGCGATATCGGAAAGGCCATTTCTGGTGCTTATGGTACCCTCCAGTCAGACAAGTTCCCTTCCGTGGAGTTCGGCTCGTCCTCAGAGTACGATACCCCCGAAAAGGTTCGAGACGCCGTCTGTAGTCATGGCTACTGGGGTGCTATTTATACTCATCCTGGTGCTTCTGATCGTCTTTTGTCCACCATCGAGGGCGATAACACTACTGTTTATGATCCACAAGACGCAGTCACTGCGATTTACAATGGCGCATACTACCCTTCCATCTTCTCCTCCCTCCAGGGCAACATGCAGAGTCTTGTTGGCGCTGCCGCAACCATGTATGGTCTCTCGACTCCCGATGCCCTCAAGGCCGTCAACATGACCAATCCTACCTCAGCGAGCACCTTCCTTCGGCCCTTCCAAGCCCATATCTGGAACATCATGCCGACCGAGCAGGGCACAAGGGTTCTTCTGAATACTGTCTCACTAGTGATGGGCATTCTGATGCATTTCTTTTTCCAGATGGGATTGAATGGCATTACAACTTCTGCCAAGGTCCTCCAGTCCTACTCAAAGCGAGATGTCTACGTCTTCCGCTTCATCACTGGCAAGATTTATACCCTCATCGGTGCTTTAGGCATGGCTGGCTATTTCTGGGCCTTCCGGGAGAACTGGAGCGTCGATGCTGCTCAGTTCTTTGAGACTTGGATGTGCCTCTGGTTCTACATGGACATCAACTACCTCGTCATCGACACAGTGCTGGCGACTATAGTCCCTATGCAGTTCTTTGCTTTCTTCCTTCTTACCTGGATTATTCTCAATATCGGATCAACCGTCTTCCCATTTGAGCTCACACCTGGGTTCTACCATTGGTCGTGGGCACTTCCAGCCCATAACGCCTGGCTTCTTCTTGTCGGTATCTGGTCTGGGTGCCGTGCCAACATTGGAGTTACTCTGCCTATCTTGTTCTCTTGGTGGGTTGTCGGCCACGCTGGAAGTGCATGGTCAGTTCGCAAGAGGTGCTTGATGGCCGAGGCAGAGGCCGAGAGTCAGCTGCAAGATGCTCCCAACGAAAAGTTTGAACGATTCAGCACCGAGCAGACACGACAGGAAACATCACATGGACTGAGGCCGGTGCAGGATCTCGACCTGGAGGCCAACCTCTCCGCGCAGCGTCTGCGCAATGACGACGATAATCGGACAGTTACAAATGGCGGCGAGCCGACACAGGAACGCGATAATATCAAATAGTGCCGATGCGAATCGGTTTATCTGCAGTTGGGTTCTTGAAGATACTTGCTTGCCATCATGCTTAGCGAACTGGATTTTGGATTTATGGATTGGCGTTTGACTAGAGGACCGAAATAGATACTTGGGCTTTTGCCGATAGGCGTCATAGATGATTCGATAGACATTCCCTCATACACTCTATAGACTGAGGGCTATTAAAATAATACATCAGCATTTAATATTCAGAACAGCTATAATTTATACACATTGAAATTCTTCAATTAATTCGTCAGTACTAATAGATGCATGATGCAACGCGATGGAGAGTGTAACACCTGATTTGAGAGCAGATGAATCTTTGAGAATTCTTCTGAGCTCTCTGCCGCTAATTTCTGGGTCAGCCTCTGGTGACAGCGGAGTCGGTTCATAATGGACGCCATCAGCTCAGAGGTCGCTTCGTGAATGAGAAAGGTATGGCGATCAAGAAGAGACTACCGAATGATAGGAAACAATTCGGTGCAGCGAAAGACCATCACGCCAGCGTAGGTTATGCGCATCAAAGAACAGGAGCTCAGCAAGTTTGACGAGAGCGTGGTGTAAATACTGGCAAGACCCTTGGACAGTTGAGAGCCCACTAAAGTGGGAAAGATTTAGGCCTTGTAACGATGATGTTTAGTTGAGCTTAGGGCAATCTTAGGGGCCTCTCTAGTGACCTGGTGGGGTTGACCTCGGATCAAAGCAACCTAGGTTTCGTGCCATTTGAAGATTCGGGCGAGCCTGGTGAGAAATTCCATGTGAAACGCTTTATTTAAGTAAATGAAATATATAACCAATTAACCTGTGGTGCCCTTTCTATCCGTAGAAAATAAATATGCGAAAACTTTCCAAAACTAGATCAAAACGTTAGGGTTTTTGACAAACCCCTCAATGACACGCGCCAGCTCCTCCACCCTTGCCTCCCAGAAATCCCGACGCTCCTCGTCAGCCTCAATACCAATCTGAGTTCTACCGTTTTCAACAAATGATACAATACGAGGCGGTGTAGCAGGTTCGGGGTGAGGAATGGAGTAATCCACGCGACACTTTGTTCCAGCGAAAGGAATCGAGTCGAAGAACTCCTTGTTGAGATGGTTGGTAAAAGAGCCGTAGAAGGGAGTCTCTGCAGGCCAGTCTGTACACTCCTTGAGCACTTCCTGGAAGCTGAGCGTAGCGTGTTGGCTGCCCTCAACGGATTGACTGCGCACGTAGTCCAGGAGCTGTGAAGCTGTCCAGTTTTGCTCAAACTTGACGCGGACGGGCTGGTACTGGTAGCAAGGACCCATGATGGTGTCAATACCAGCGACATCGACGTCGCGACCGGAGACAATACCACCGAATGTGACATCGGAGACATTGAGGTGCTGCGACAGTACCTTGGCCCAGCCAGCAGTGAGAAGCATCGCGTGTGTTGTGTCAGGTGAGGCTCCAGAGATGTCAACATCCTTGGTCATGAATGCAGTCTTCTGCTGAGGCTCCGCAGCAGGAGCGATCTCAGTATATGTTGATCCCTTAAGAGTCTTGCGCCAGAAGCCTACGTTCTGAGATTTAGCGGTTGAGAGGTGCTGGATGAAGGTCTCGAAAGGCTCCGACGCGGGGATCTCCAGGCCCCGGTAGCGAAGCTCAAGCTGGCGCAGAAGTTCTGGCAGGGACACACCGTCGTATTGCGCGTGCGAGATACGGATCATGAAAGCATTCTCAGTCTCGCCTCGAAGAACGAAAAGGCGAATGAAAGAAGCGCCGAAAGCGAGATCAGTGCTGTTGTTGGCATCCGACTGTGCGATCTGCTTGGCAGCATCGTCAATTGAGCCCTCAACGCTCTGCTCCGTGACAGGCACCGTCATGTCACTGAGGACAACTTGGAGGCTTTGTCCCTCATGTTGAACAAACACAGTTCGAAGAATAGCGTGCTGCGACACGAGGTACTGGAAGCTGTCGACAAGACGGGCCGTGTCAATTGACTGGTCCAGGTAGAGCATATTGTACTGAAGTGAGCTTCGTGGGGCAGACACTGTTTGCTTCACATCGCCACTCTGGGGTCCAGTGGTGGGGAGGACGTCCTGAATCTTCCAGGTCGAGTCGGCCAATTGAGGCTGGATGGCCTGGGCGAGGAAGCCATCGACATCCTTGATACTCAATAGCGAGAAGGGGGCGTATTTCTTCGTGCTCTCGCTGGCCTCGGGTAAGTTTTCGACCAACGAGTTGGCCATGCCCCGAAGCTGCATGTTCTGGAAAATGCTTGCGACAGACAAACGGTAACCATCCTGTCGCAGAGCAGAGACCATACGCATGGCGACGATGGAATCACCACCAAGACGGAAGAAGTTATCATCGAGAGACAACTTCTCCTCCTCAATGCCAAGGAACTTGGACCATGAAGCGCGAAGCACGCGCTCCTTTGTGGTCAAGACCGTAGTGTCGGCAATTGTCTTCTTGAGAGATGCGAAGGACTTGCGGAGTTCGACGATCAGTGACAAAGAAACCTCCGAAGCAAGAGTCTCAATGGAATTGATGTCTACGTTGCTGGTGAGGGGAATACAGATCGAGGGAATGGCATAAGGTGGGAGAGTCTCAACCATTGCTTTGTTGAGGCCGATAATTGCTGCAGCGAGTTCAACGGAGACTTCTTCGGCCAAAGGAAGCGATGCATCTCTAGCATCGACGCCGAGCTTGAGCAATTGAACATCCATCGCCGCTTTATCTTTGACAAATGCGACAACCACGGGAGTCTGGCTGCTTGAACCCTTGGGAACAACAAGTCGGCTCACAGATTCAGCGGTACCAGGAAGCAGGCGCTTGAGCTCAAGGTTCGTAGCATTGAGATCCACGACGCGACCGTCAACACTAGCCATGTCATCCTTGCGACCGACGAACACCAAGCTCAGATCATCAGTGTATTTGACGAGGTCTCCGGTGCGGAAGAGCTTGCTTTGTCGGCCAGGGTAGCCAAGCGCACCCTCCTTCAACCATTCAGGAGCATCAACCACATCGGCATCGTCGCGCACTGAAGCACATTCAAGCAGGAGCTCTCCAGTGCTTCCAAGTGGCATGAGAAGCTTCTCATTACCAGGCTGGACGACCCAAGGAACATATTGGACCGTGGGGTATTTGTCGCCGCTGGACAGGAATCGCGAGATGTCCTTGGGAGAGACAGGTGCCTGCTTGTTGGCTTCCCAGATCTCTCCTAACTCTTCTTCGCCGAGGCATGTGACATCGCTCAGTGACCGCGACACGTCGCCACGAAGCTGGTTGATGGCAACTTCGAACTGCGACAGCACGCGCTGAACTTGAACGGGGCTGAGAAGCTCCGAGTCAAAGCTTGCCAGCAGCCGGAAGCCGGTCTTCTGAAGGGACACAGCCAACATAAGAGGGTATGAGTTGAAGTGCAGAGCCTCAAGAGCGGCATCTCCCCCACGGAAAGAAGGTAGCTCATCGGTTTCTGTCTCAGAAGGCTCGGGGTCTTGGGGCTGGACGACAAGACCCATAGTGACTTCACAAGCAATTTGAGCATCTTCACTCAATCGGCGAATATGCTGGATACCCAGATGTTCATGTGCAGAGCGAGCGACACTCTGTTCCTGGACCGCACGAAGAAACTCTTGCACTGTGCTTGTGCGGTCGAGACGAATGCGAACCGGGACAGTCGCGAGAATGGGACCCTCGATGAGTTCGGCACCAGGAAGGGGAATGGTGCGACCCATGAAGGTCTCGCCGAAAACAACATCGTCGCTCATGGAGTATTGCGACGCCAGCAGAGCCCACGCAGCTCGAATAACGGTGGCGATAGTGATGTCGGACTTGGTAGCCTTGTCAAGCTTGATGAATCGCTCAGTCAGAGAGGTAGGGTCGGGGATGTAAGAGCGCGATGGAAGGGTTGGGAATTGAGGTCCTGTGGCGCCAGCAAGTTGAGTCTTCCAGTAGTCCTTGGACGACTCGCGTGAGTCTTCAGCAAGATAGCGAATGAAGTGCTTGAATTGAGCAGGGCGCGATACTTCTTCACCCTTGTACGCAGCGCGGGCATGCTCGACGATGAGATCTGTAGACCATCCGTCATAGATGGCGTGGTGGGCCGTCCAGACAAAGTATCGCTTGTCGAGAGCCTTGTCGGTGACGATGGCGAAGCGAGAGAGCGGTGCGCCAGGCGACATTGGCTCTTTCTTGTCTTCCTCAAGGAACTCCTCCAGTGAAGACTCAACCTCCTTCCATTGAAGCGATTCGTTGACGACAACTTGCATGAAGCCATGCTGCTTGAACTCAACAATGCGGGTGCGAAGGATGGGGCTCTCCTTGTACACAACATCCCAAGCGGACTTGAGCTTGTCGACAGAACTCGAGGCGGGGATATCTGCGATTCGTTGCGCGACATAGTTCTCCTTCGATCGCGTGTAGAACGCCATGTGAATCTCCTGCATAGGCGCACAAGGGTAAATGTCCTCAATCGCACTGACGTCGCATCCCGATTTCTCAGCAGCCTCAGCGCGCAGGGCATCGCGGTCCATGTTATCCTTCAGCAGAGAGAACTCAGGAATCTGCATATCAACACCCTTGCTCTTATCACCCTTTTGCATCGACTTCGCCATATCGGCGAGAACAGGGTAATTGAAGATATCAGCGACAGAAAGCGTGTATCCCCAGTCTCGGATGACTGGCACGAGCTTCATCGCAAGAACGGAGTCTCCGCCAGATGTGAAGAAGTTGTGGGTAGTGCTGACTTGCTTCGTCTCGAGTCCAAGCAGGCGACACCACGAGTCGCGCAGGAAGAGCTCAGCCTCGGACTCTGGCTCCCGGATCTCGGAGGACTCATTTGCGGCTGCTGAGGCCTGAAGGTTTGCAGAGATCTCAGCACCGAGAGCGCGAAGAGACTTGCGATCGGTCTTGCCAGATACAAGGTAGGGAATCTTGGAGAGGGTAATGTACGTCGCAGGTACCATGTATACTGGAACTACCTTCGAGAGTCTCTCATTGAGCGTCTCGAGTGAGTCGCGCAGACGAGGTGGGAAGTCAATTTGCCGAGCATCACCATCGTCCTTGGCTTCACGATCAGCGATGAACGCTACCAGCATAGACTCCTTATTCTGGTTTCGCGGTGCGATGATCTCAGCGACGACTTCAGCGCCCGCAGGGAGAAGGTTCTTGATGTGGTGCTCGATCTCTCCTAGCTCTACACGCTGGCCACGAAGCTTGATCTGAGTGTCCTTGCGACCGACGAAGACGAAGCCTTTTTCGCCGTCTGGATCATATCGGACCAAGTCACCTGTCTTGTACAGACGCCCATGGCGACCGGGAATTCCACCAGCGCCAGCGAGGAGGAAGTCGGGGTCATGGATGAAGACCGCGTTTGTCTTCTCCGCATCACCAAGGTATCCTTGACCAACAATTGGTCCCTCGACGAGCAATTCGCCGACAGCACCCACAGGAACAAGCTTGTTGTGATCGTCGGGATCAACGAGCCAGATGCAAGCACCCGTGCCTGGACCAATACTGACGTACGGCTTGCCTGCTGCGCTGGGATTGACAGTACATCCAATTGTGCACTCAGCAGGGCCATAGCCAACGACAATTCGAGTATGTTGGCCCCAGATCGCAATATCTCCAGCTGAACAAGACTCGCCACCGATACCAAGACTGTTCAGCGATGGGATAATATCAGGATCCAAGATGCGTGCGACTGACGGTGTGATGTTGACCATGTTCACCCTCAAACGGCGGATCGCACCGCTGAGATCGTTCACGCGGTCTTGATCAGTTGGAATGCAAAGACATCCACCACGAATGAGCGTGCAAAGTATACTATCGACACTGACATCGAAAGCATATGATGTAAAATCGAGCGATCGTGAAGTACTCGAGTACCCAATTCCCGTGCTTCGCGCAAGAGCGCTAGCAGTATATGTTTCGTGCGAGAGCATAACTCCCTTTGGCGTACCTGTACTTCCGGAAGTAAAGATGATATAGAGGAGAGAATCGGGCGGTACGTCGGGGAGTTTTCGGAGAGGATCTTGGATCGTCTTGGCCAAAGAGTCGAGAGTCGCAGTGTCGACAATGACATGCTTCGCGTCGGGCGCGATTTCGGGGCCGTATTTCGCTTGGTCTCGAGAGGTGAGAATGTGTGTCGCGTTGACTTGTTGAGCCATAACTTGTCGTCGCTGCATGGGTTGGCTGGGATCGTGGAGAGAGAAAGCTGCGCCGGCTTTGATGATACCCATGACAGCGACGGTCGTCCATCTTGACTTCTCGAAGCATAGCGGTACAATATCGCCGACTTTGACTCCGAGATCAATGAGATGTTGCGCAAGCAGTGTTGATAGTCTGTCAACATCTGCGTATGTGAAGTCGCCATCCCATGAGCAAATCGCTGGCGCATCAGGGCGCCACCTCACTTGCTCAGCGATCAAGGTGTGAATGCACATGGGCACTGGTGGAGGAAGGTCTTTGTTCCAGTTCCATATCACAGACTTGTCGAGCTCGCCTAGTGGTAGGACAGAGCTAATTGTTGCGGTCGAATCAGTGAGTGTTGTGTTGAGAACTTCTACGAGGGCTTGGGCAAAGTGGTTGGCGAGGAACTCTGCGCCGAGAGGCTCGCGCCATGTCGGTCGGAGCCATAGAACGTCGTCTTCTAGTGTCGCTTCAATCTGGACGTTTCCCTGTGTCGCGCAACCCGTTAGTTAGTGTAGATGAGAGGTGAGGCTCATGCGCTTACCCAGTTCACTGACAACTCGCCCTCATCGGTCACGTTGGTAACGACCTCGCCTGTCGCAGCCTCATCATTGAAGAAGAACTTGTATCCTTTCGTCTCAAAAGGCTGTTCTGACTGTAATTCCTGTTGTAGGTAGTTTCGGAAGACCTTCAGCTCCGATGCGACAGAGTCGCTACCATCCCATTGCAGCTTCGATGTGTTGAGGGTGAATGTGCGACACGTTGAAGAGCCAATTTCGCTCAAACCCCACGAGAACTCAACATGATTCCCGTGGCTATGACGATACAGAAGAAGCGTCCATGCTAATAGTAGGATCTCAAGGTCATAGCTATCTTGGTCTTGTTGTTTGCGAAGAACAGGTACGTCATACCGCACACCCTTCGCCCGCGGCTGCGCCGACGACTGAACATCTCCCATGATGGATAAGATGTTTTTTGTGTATCTGTTTTAATGTTGAATTTGGTGGGCTGGAAGAAGATCCCACTGGAGACGATGGGAATACAGACAGATGCAGTTTGCAACGACGAGAAACTCTACATGAACGCCTCCACTATTTTATTACAGAATTGCCAGCCCAGACTGCAGGAACACCATTACGTATTGAACAGAGGTTTTCATCCGTCTTGAGCATATCGTATACCAGCTGTGTGGGGGGTAGACGGGGACCTTTGAAGCTTCACTCACTCAGGGTCCCGAGCTTCCCATCATGGGCGACTTCGGAGGGTGTCCGTCTTGGGGAGTCGTCTGCTCATCGGTCGTCCATTGCTGATCTCGGCACGCTAATCCGTACGTGAATCGACGTGAAGAGGATGAAGGCCCCACGCTCGATGGACCCCTTGGATACATCCTAGCTTCCCGTGTGAGAAGTTACGGAACTAGCGCGGGCAAAGAAGCAAGAAGAAGGGAGCGGGAGGACGGTGGCTTCGGTGAGAGGTTGCTCTGCCAAGGCGGTTGTGAATGAGGCTGCTTCTTCAAACAGGGGAAACACACATTCGCATGAACTCATGCAGCAGAGTGCGATGTGGTAGCCAGAGCTCTGGTAAAGGATTCATCCGCGTGGTATCGCATGTAGCAAATGGTTCGATGGACGTGAACAAGACTGGTCCTGGCTGAAGTGGTCGAGTTGCAGGCCTCTCCACCGCGCTATGTAACAGCGTTACAACCCAAGAGAAAACAGGGTTTCTTTTCGTCCCGTTACTATACGGAGAGTAGTAATAATCGACATGTCGGCGGGGACGTAGTGGATGAAGTGATGACCCCCATGAAGCCGAGGCGACAATTTTTCTTTTCGTGTGGTGGGGTGATTGATAAGTTCATTATCTGATCAGATTGACAAGGATCAGTGAAATCTCCACACGAGCTTGCCATGGCGTCACACCACAAGCCACTGAACAATTTGGACCTGTTAGCCTGTCTGTCAGGTACTTCTCAAGTGTCTGAAACCGCCGTGGCTAGCTCTAATGTGAATCAAGTATATCGGGCTCTATACTAAACAAGAAAAAATACAGAGGGAAAATGCCTCATAAATGCACTGTCATGCATCACAGCTTGCTATCCACCCATCTCGGAGCCCTCTTCTCCACAAAGGCCTGCACGCCTTCGTGGAAATTGTGCCCATCAGCCATGATCTTGTCCCACGTCTGACGGTGCACCCGGACTGCATTCTCAGCACTCCCATGCTCCCAGCCCGCAAGGATACCCGCGCGAGACACAATAACACTGTCAGGGCTATTCTTGATGATGAGCGCAGCGTACTCCAGCGCCTTCTGCACCACGGGTCGCTCCAGCACATCGCTGTCCGCTGGGGCGTCTTCAGTGATGGCGTTGAGAAAGCCGAATTCGCGGGCCTCTGCAGCGCTGATGCTCCGCCCTGTGAGGGCCATTTCAGTGGCGCGCGGGCGGCCAATTGTCCTCGCTAGTCTTGGTAGAGAGCCTGCATTAGCAACGACACCAATCTTAGCCTCAGGAAGAGCAAACGTAGCGCTCTTCGCAGCGACAATGAGGTCCAGATTGGCGATGATCTCGAAACCGCCTCCCATCGCCAGACCATTTACAGCGGCGATGATGGGCTTCTTTCCGCTCCTACGCGAAAGGCCGCCAAATCCCGTCGTGGGCGGGTCCATGGGTCTCTTCTCGGGAATTCCGTCTCTTTTGCGCTGATTGATCTGGTTCCATTCCTTGAGGTCCATGCCAGCGCAGAATGCACGCCCAGCGCCTGTGACTATTGCGCAGCGCAGTGAGGGCTCCTCGTCGTACCACTCCCAGAGAGCTTCGAGCTCATATTCTGCGTCGCTGGTCATTGCATTGAGGGCTTTGGGTCGGTTGAAGACCACGAGCATAACGTGTTGTGCTGGGAATGACACGAGGCCATAGCTTTGGGCTGGTGGTTGGCGATTGAACGTGTGCTGCGCCATGGTGATCGATTTGCTGAGGGACTGTGGATGGTGTGTGCTTCGGTGAGTATGGATGCGTTTATGTGCTGCCTTCGGTGATAAAACTTGGTCGGCAGGGTTTATCTGATGAAGCCGAGGATGCTCAATGGTCAACACCTCTTGATGATCTGTTCCGATCAGATAAAAAGATGGTGCAATGTGACCCAAGCCGGCGTTAGAGTTCCAGAAGGGTTCAGTTGAAAAGACCCCTGTCCCTCGATCTCCGGCACGCCCACGCCCCCTCCAGCGCATGGCATGGCACCCGGTCGCTTTGGCGTCGAGCTACGGAATGAACCGTTTGAGAATCTAATCAATCACATCTGATAATCCAGGGCGAAGATGCATCACATGCTGCATTCTAAGGATTTCTTTTTCATGATCGTGCATGATGCTAGGGTGGCCGAGATCGGACGGGATGCTTGAGAAGTTGAGCAGAATTTTCATGGGAGCTATGACAGTTCCAAGAGCTTGGGGATGATCACTGCCTGCTTTGACGTGAAGGAAGCTGGGCTAACTGAAGAATTCCAGCAAAGCATTGAGTGCGCCTCCAAAGACTCACAACAGAATACTTGCAATGGCTGAAAACAAAACACCATGTAAACGCGAATTTCACTTCCTTGGCAACGGTTTGTGTTTTCCTTTTTTCTACTCACGCCAAATTGTGGCTCTCTTGGCTAACAAGCATGTCCCGGTGCTATCGGTAGTTGAGCAAGCAAGCCACTGTTTCCCCCCGAACCGAGACCGCGTCTTTCTCGCCTCGACAAGAATGACATCGAGTTCACATACAATTCAATGGCCCCGTGATTGGGCATGAACAATGAGCGATATATGCATCGAGGCCCTAGATCGCTTTTCGAATCAGGAGCTGAAAACACAAGTGAGAACATGATGCGGTCGCGAAAGCGGTGCTTGGCCTGCGTGACCTCAGCTTTCGCAACGCAACAAGCCCTGCGAAGTACGTGTTTCGGCTACTTTTTGGGGGCATTGGTTTGTGTTTGCAAGGTCATGTTTGCTTCAATATTCCCCATTCACCTCCCCGTTATGTTGCGAGAGCTTGCGTAACGGTTCAATTGATCGCGGGGGGGCAGTGGGTGACGGCCTGCATTTGCGATGTGGTCGGCGGAAGCGCTGAAAGAAGCCGCAATTGCGCGATCAAGTGATTTGAGCAAAGTACTTGTTTCCGATCGCTTCCAAGGACGCAAAAGTCAAGCTACTTCTACGTTTGTTGGCGTGGGGGACTGATGGAGGTGTTTGTCGAGCTTGCGCTTACGTCGCGTATGTCAAGTTGTTACGCGACTGAGAGTCAATCACTTTAGCTGCTGCGTGACCATGACTTCGTGGACATTCCATTCGAGCCATAATTCTACCGAACAGCCTCGCGTTGCGGTGAATAACTCGCATGGGTTCTAATTTCACTGTTTGCGATCTGCCTTCCGGCTCGTGATAGCATGGATGTATCGTAGCCTGTTCGGTGGCACATGCGAGTAAACCACTGGAAGTCCACGTATTCGATCAAATGGTACGGAGTATTGTCATCAAACCAAATGATTTACGGCTCTGTCTCGCCCAGCTGTACAAGATAGCAATCCTCATGGCATTGCCAACGATGCACTCAAGTTCATACACAACGAGTCGTTGAATCGGTTTAATTGTTATGTTTGGTTTTCGCCATTTGCATCGCCAGACTCCTACCCTAAGCCTCGTAGTGATGCTTTAGATCCAAGCCATCTGTCGCCGGGCACTCGCGATTCGCAGGACATATCAATCTAATCTAATCTGATTTATGGCAAAAAGTGATTGATTAGGTAGAGCTCGGCAAGCCGTGTTTCGTAGTGGTGAAGCGAAGTCGGTGGCGTGAATGTCATCCCGGGGCCACCAAGACTGAGCCAAGCTCTCATGTACTCTCCATTATTGTGGCGTCGTGACGTCGGAGGCGATTCGAAGCTGATCAAAGGAATTGTTTCTCATACTTGAGGAATAAGAAGAACTTGATGCAGATTGGTCTTATTCTGTAGGGTAGAGCTTGCAAACTCCTTGACCCTTTACTCCGTACGAGCTTCACCAACACCAGACGAAATTTCTCAACGGGACAGCAAGCAGAAAACTCAAAGCCTAGGTTAGTACCTAACTAACCCCACAACAGCTTCCTTTCTAAGTTTCCGCGCCTCAAATTAGCGCACATCCCATCCACTTGGCCCCAATTAGCGTTCACTTAGTGGCATGATCCCACTGCAAAGCTCGCAGGGACTGCGGATAATCGGCACAGACCGGATACAACACGACGGGCACCTCATCCTCAACCAAGCTTCCAAGCTTTACAAGACGGACTCCCCTACCCTGCTCTGCTACCCTCGGCTTGTCCACTTCACGGTACGCATCGGGATATTCGCCGTCTTGAGCAAAGATGGAATACATCTTATCTAATCTGATTGGGCCAAGACCTTCAACACCGAGATCGGGGTATAAATAAAATCTGGAGAGAAAAAAAGAACAAGTTCAGTCAGTCAGTCAGTAGTCACAAGCCATCAACCAACAATCATGTCTTCAGAACCATTCCAGCAAAAGTCGCCAATCAAGATCAGGCTCCCTCTGCCTTATCTGTCCACCTACTACCTCGAGCGTACTGCTGAGGGTAAGCAGTCGTATCGTCTGCGCAAGGACGACTCCATCACAGAGGGCAAGCCTTTCCCCAAGGTTCTCCATGCAGATGATCTAGTTTTCTCCAAGATTCCTGCTGTGGAATCTGATAACATCCCTGATTCTGATAACCGCGAGTATGCTCGTGCCAGAAGAAGTCCTGTCTGGTCGCTGAGCTGGGAGAAGCAGACTCCTACCCTTTCGCAGACCTGGATGTTCCTCTACACTTTCTTCACATACCACTTTGATGTAGAGCAATTCCGTCTCCGCCTTGAGGGCGCTGGTGCTGAGGATTTGGCCAAGGAGCTTGTCCTCTCCATGGTGGCCATCAACATGCCTCCTCCTCCC